GGGATCGCCCTCAGTGCTGCATTCACACTTTCCATGAGACTTTCAGGTGGTACTTCACATAGCCGTTGTAATCGGTTTCTAGGTTGCCCAGCTTTCATTCTCGCCATGATCTTAGCTTTCAGGTCAGTTGCTGCCTCGCTCAGTGTCAATGTCATCATCTGCATTCATTGGGGCTTGCCTCCCAATCTCTGGTATGACCTCCTCCTCTGATCTGGCAGCCTGGGGCCCTTCACCGTGGACCCTGCGTTGTACCTCGTCAATCTCAAGTTGTGACAGCAATTGCCGTTTGTGGATGTTGGAACACTGACACTGCCTTAAACCATGTACACTGAAATTAAAAAAAAAAAATCGTGTTCAATTTACTCAATTTTATTTCGTCAGGTGGTTGCATGAAATCAAATCATCTGGATCCAGTCACATTTTTTAGGTTAATGTATAGTCTCCTTAAAACATGTATCTAAAGCCAGATGATTTTATTTTGTGCATACATACACTTGACGAAATAAAACTGTGAAAATGCAACATCCGATTTTTTTTTATTTCAGTGTACGTGGTTTCAGGCAGCCAATTCAACTTTGAATTTTTGAATATTTTCAAGTATCCTCAGATCCCTACCAGACCGCAAACAAAATTGTGTGTGTGTGTGTGTGTGTGTGTATATTTTTGTACTGCATATATGTGTGCGTGTGTGTATAGATATATATATATATATATATATATATATATATATATAAAATATAGTCCAATGCATATCTGTGCAGTTGGCTAATTGTTAACCCCTCTTCATGACTCTCACACAGGGGTGATGTAATTTCAGAGAAGTGAGTTGATGTGATGTCATGTCACAGTCACAGTTAGGTCAGCAGCACCAGGAGCAGCTTAAAGACGGGCGCTGCTGCCATTTTTTTGCGCTCAGAGCAGCTACAGAATCAGACTGTTGCACGCAGTTCCTCAGCCTTCCTCTTCTTGGTCGTTGTGAATTTCTGTTTCTCCAGGCAGCTGCAACCTCCTTCCTTGTAGGCCAATGTCCATCTTGAGCATGGGGTCCAACATTTGTTGTTTTGTTTTCACTGTTTTTTCTTTATCAGTGTAATGTATATAATTTTTGTTCTCACCAGACATGGCTGAGGATGACGTTACTCCAGAGCAGCTCGCAGCCATCGCCGCAGAAAATGAGGAGCCAGAGATTGTGAACTACAAGGCACCTGCCCAAAAAACGGTGCAGGAGATCCATGAGATGGATAAGGATGACGAAAGCTTACGTAAATACAAGGAAGCCCTACTCGGCACTGGAGTGGCTGAAGCTGGTAATGCATCTGCTTTCTTTCTGTTGTTGTTTTAAGGGATGCACGATAATTATCGGGCATATATGAGGGATTATGACATCATATTGATAAATCTGATTGTTGTTTTGTGTGTGTGAGCCATCACTTGGTTACATTAAACCTTTCCAAAAAGCATTCTAAAGGAGAGCAATGCGTCTCATTTGGCAGTTAGTCAAATATATGATCCAACTGTAGAGGTGCCAACTGAAGGTGATTTAAGTCATGAGTTGCAAGTTGAAGTTGTAACTCTTGACTCTGTGAATAAGTGGAATGTAATCGTGTCCTTCCAGGAAGCATACAAAATCATATTTTTGACATTCTGTATTTCAATTCTGAACATGAGCTATCGGGGCAATGCCTCTTTGCTGGTCACAATAAGTATGCCCTTTGCCAGAGAAGCTTAATCGAGCTCACTAACTTCAACAGCATGCAAAACAACAGTTTAGTGCGCTGCCATTCATTCATGTTCTACTTAGGACATTCTGAGACAAATGATGGGCTCAACAGATGACAAGAATTTGGTTTGTTTTACTCTTTGACATTTACAATGGTATTTGTACAGAATGGAGCAATGTAAAAAGTAAAAGGTAAAGTACTCAACCATATGTTTTCTTATACATTACAGTTTGTATAAAGTGATAAAGATGGACGACTCGGTAATACTTTTAGTATATTGTTGTCAAGTGTGCATTATTTATTATTGAAAGGTTGAATTATAGCATGTTGTCTATAATTTGTAGTTTACACAAATACATTGTACATATAACTGACACGATAAGCAAATGCATCTACATAACATTAAATGCAGGTTGTGAAGACATTTTTTTTTTTTGCCCAATTCATTAGAATACATAATTCATGTGGAATGTCAGAAATGCAGGAGCTCATGCTTGTTCCGTTCTTGTCAGACCCCAGTGTTCCCAATGTCCAGGTTACCCAAATGGCTCTGATGTGTGAAAGCGCCCCAGATCCTCTGGTGCTGGACTTGCAAGGTGAGTCCCAGGAGGATGGTTTATGTGGCAGAAATGCCCTACTTTCTTACATGTATGTCTCTAGCAAGACAAGGAGGAATAAAATGCTTACTTGGCAATAATATACAGGTCGGTAGTACACCATTGCCTGTTTGGACTGTTGAAATTGACGAGCAGTTTACATTGTGTAAATCTAATTATAATCCAAACAGCATTGCGAAGGCCCTTTCGCACTGCACTTAGCATAGCATATTGCGCCACTAAAGCTTCACCTGAATTAAAACATTTTCACTGTGCAGTCAGCGCACAGTGATGACATCTTGGCACATCCCAGTAGGATCATAATTGGGAAAAAATAATAATCACAATTATTTTTGATTGAGATTGAAATCATGATTATTAAAACAATTATTCATTGATTTTAGAACTTTTATTTATTCAACAAGTAACTACTCAACTACCGTATTTTCCGCACTAAAAGGCGCACCTAAAAGCCTTCCATTTTCTTAAATGCTCACAGCGCGCCTTAAAATCCGATGCGCTTTGTGTATGGTCATCATTACGGTAATATGTCAACCCCAAAATGTCTCTTTGCTAGAGACATGCTTACAACGCAGAGTTCAAATTTAAGGCGATCGGTTTTACAGTTGAACACGGAAATAGAGCAGCGGCAAGAGAGTTCAACGTTAACGAGTCAATGTTATAACTTCAACGAGCAGGACGGTGGCCAACGTTGAGCGTGTGAGGCAGATGGTGCACAGCGATCGTCGTTTGATCGTTCGAATGATCGCAAACGAGCTGGGCATGAACCGGGATAAAGTTTGAAAGATTGTCACTGAAGATTTGGCCCTGCGAAAAGTCTGTGCAAAGATGGTGCCCAAACTCCTGCACGACGACCACAAGGATCGGCGCATGCAATTCTGTCAGGATGTCCTCGAGCGTCTTGAAAGTGAACCGGACTTGCTGATGAGAGTCATCACAGGTGATGAGTCATGGATCTTCCGGCATGAGTCGGAGAGCAAACGCCAGAACATTCACCTGAGGAGTTCGACGCCGCCAAGGCCGAAGAAAGCAAAACAGTCCAAAGTCAAAGTCTTGCTGATCGCATTCTTTGATGTGCGGGGCGTTGTTCATTGGGAGCTCTTTTCACAGCGCCAGACGTTCAACCAGCACGTCTACAAAGAAATCCTGCAGCGTTTGTTGAGTTTAGTGCGCGAGAAGAGGCGAGAGTTGTGGCAGGACAACTCGTGGCTGCTACACCACGACAACACGCCTGCTCACAACACCCTGAGCGTCCGACAGTTCCTGGCTGAGAAGAACGTCCCCGTGCTGGAGCCGCCTCCCTCCTCCCCTGATTTGGCTCCATGTGATTTTTTTCCTCTTTCCTAAACTGAAGAAAGTCATCAAAGGGTCTTGTTTTGAAGACGTGGAAAACGTCAAGTTGGCCATGACGACGGCACTGCAGAGGCTCTCAGCCGAATCTTTTCAGCAGTGCGTGACGGCCTGGCAAAGACGGCTGGGAAAGTGCGCTCGACTCCAGGGGGATTACTTTGAATAGAACAGTTGTCATTTGTTGTTTGCATTTGATTCCTGACACGCCTCATGGATGTTTTGTATTAATAATAAAACTTGCTAAAACAATGCTTTCGATGATTGATTTTTTTTTTTTACACTTCTTTTCCCACTGTTGTGATTTTCCTGATGACGGCGATAACGTTGGTCACGATACCTGATATGGTGTATGTTGATACATGTTTAATTTTGATTTCTACCAGGAGACTTGGAATCCTTCAAGAATGAGGCCTTTGTTCTAAAGGAAGGAGTTGAATACAAAATAAAGATCAGCTTTAAGGTGAGAGTGGCTCTTCTTCCAGCTGTGTATTTACACACTACGCATTATGGCCACAAATGTGCAAACCTCAGATCATCTCTGTTGACACTTGAAGCGATATAAACAAACGATAGTTGTCGTTAGAACGTTTTGTTACATATCGATTTTTATTTTTATTTTTTTTACTCTGACAATTTGGTGTGGACATAATCTCGTACAACCCGAGTATCTTGTTTTATGTAATAACGGCCCACGTTGGAGAACTGGTTCTGGGCCACACACACCACACGCACACACACACACACACACAAACACAAAAAACAAACTCTTACCTCAGTTGTGTTCAGTCTTAATTTAAAGCATTTTCTTCACACTGAGGTGTCTACGGCTCTCCTGTTTTCTGAAACTGAGCCATGACTGGTTGTTACCTGAGCCATGAGGAAATGTGATGTCATATTCAGTCAACAGCAAGTGGCCAAATGCGGATTTTACTGCTTCAGTCACATTCCAACAAGCGCAATGTTAATCAGAATCCCTTGTTTAGACTCGTGGATCTCCATAGAAGGTATTTTGAAAAAAATGTTGGGTTTGACTTGCCCTTTAAGATGTCAGATCAGTTAAACAACTTGAAAAAGCAGGACAAAGTGAAATTTAATAACTCACTTTTTGTAAAAAAAAAAAAATTTAATTAAAATAAAAATAAAAAATGAACTGAAGCATGGCGGGGGGCTCTGACTATGTTGACCGAGCCATTCACACATCATACGAGCGCCCCGATAATGTGCTTCAACTGTGCGGAAACAATCTTTCTCAGGAATGCATTGACGCCCCCCCATTTAGTTGGAGCGGATTGGCAAGGTGATGAGTGGACAGCGCTTACGGACTGCTCGTAGAAGAGCAACGTTTGTGTGATCGTGATTTCACGGCACGTGTGCTCGCCTTGCATTATTATTATTTTTTTGGGTCACGTTTTTTTCTCCCCGCTCAGTTAAACCCATGCCAAATCAACTTTTCCATTTCTTTAAATGAGAATATGATAATAAAAAGTGAAAGTCCCACAGATGCAGCTTAGAAGGAAGGATTGATGTTGTCGCTTTGGCAAGCACACAGCCCCCATTCTGACCTGTGTAATCCTTTTGTTAGGCCAAATAAGTGTAAATGCAATGGATTAAAAAATGTTGTCTTTGTCTGTTGTCAGTTGAGTAGAGAAAGCGTATGGGAAGCAACCACTGATTCCTGTGGTAACATGAGTACATTGTGTACCTTGAAAGAAATCATTTTGCTGCAGCGTTTTCCAGCGTCCTTCTAAATTTTAAGATGTTTGCGAGAAGCCAATGCTGTATTTGATGTCTTCAAAACACAGATCAACACCAACTTACTCAACTGAAGAACAATGTTATTTTTCTTGCCTCCTCAGGTAAACAGGGAGATTGTTTCAGGTCTGAAATATGTGCAGCAGACATCCAGGAAAGGAATGAAAAGTGAGTGAGCATATATATATATTTTTTTTTAATACTGTTTTTAGCCAACAGAAATGTGACAGCAGAAGGCACCCACCCAAACAGGGCATAAACCAGTACATAGTCTAGCCTGGTCCCAAATCCAGATAAATGCAAAGGGTCGTGTCAGGACGGGGAACCAGCTTTAAATTTTGCTGAACAATTCTGAGCAGCCATTCCAAAGAATTTCATACTGGAGCGGCCGCAGCCCCGGTTAATCTACACGCTGTCAGTAGAAATCCAGCTGCTGTTGGTCGTAGATGGAGGAGAGGCGGAGAGTGAGTCCATGATGCAAAGAGAAGAGGGAAGCACACTGCCAGGACCTGAAAGTAGGGATTTTGAACAGTGGGATGATGACAGCAAAGGCTAGGGAGTTGATTGCCACGATGATTAGGAGACTAGATGGAGAGGCAGTAAGTCTAGAAGCAAGGGACACGTATCAACTTGTTTTACCTTGATGGAGATTGGAAGCGAAATGGAGTAAGGGTTATCTCAAAGCAAGAGTTGGTTAAGAATGTCCTGGAGGTGAAAAGAGGGTCACATCGAGTGAAGAGGATAAAACTTGAAATCATTTGATATAAGTTGTGGTTCTGCTCCACAGGGAGGATGTGAACTCGAAAATAAACTGTAGAGGCTTCCTATGAAGTGGTTCACCTCATCCCCATCCTCAGCTTTGGCTGCCGTCAGTGCTTAAATCGGGGGTGTCAAACATAGGGCCCGCGAGCTGCAACCGGCCCCCAAGGAGGTTCGATCAGGCTGACAAGATAATTTAAAAGTGAAAAAAATGCATAAGACCCGGAATGAATATTTTCAATAAGGTGCAATTCATGGAATGTCCGCTAGGGAACACACTGTTTTGATCAGAGTAGAAGACAACAGCAGTCTTAGTCTGTCACAGAGACAGACCCAACACAGAAGACGCTATCAAGGACATGTCAATTCTTTATTCTTTACTCATTTAAGAGCACTCTCCTTAGTTTGTAAGGTGTAGGCAGGGATTACATTTAGATTTTATATGCACATGTGTAAATGGTTGACAAATTCCTTTCTTTACAAATCTCGTTTAATCTTAAAATGCATGACTATATTTTAAAGTTGTGTGCTTCTGTACAATCAGTGGGATCGGTTGCAATGCATATATGTGAATGATAAAAGTAAATTGCACATTTGTCTAAGGAAATCTAAGGTGCTTCATGAAATGTTTTGTAAAAAATATGTTCATTAAATGTCAACATTTTTCTAATGTTCTTGTGCTTCTTTAGACCAAAACAAAGAAAAGAGACATTTTCTTTTAGTTATTTATAGCAGAGTATGGTAAAATTTTAATGGTCCAGGCCACTTGACATCTACCGAGGCCGTATGTGGCCCACCATGTGAAATGAGTTTGACACCCCTGGCTTAAATCCATAAGAGTCTCAAACATCGCGCGACTACAGACGTGGTTGTTAGTAGATAAACAAAGGCAGAGGTAGATGCACGCAGGCGGGTAACATCTTGTGCAGACGATGTCATCTGAAAGAGGTTACTCACTGTAAGTTGTAGGGGAGAATGTCAAACAGTACACAGCTGTGTGTAGGATAAGAAGACAAAGACAGAGCAGAGAGCCGCGTGGTGGAAGCTGAGAAAGGAAGCATGTCATGCAGCCATTGCAAGAAGAGGTGAGACAGGCCCTGAGCAGTTAGCAGGAGCTTACACAAGACTGGACCACTGCAGCCAAGTTGACCCGAGAGACAGGCAGGAGAGTACTTAGAATGTCTTCTCGTAGCAAAGGGGAGAAGCAGACTAGGTGGAGGGGGCAAAGACCAAAATGGAGGCAAATGATGACAGAGCTGGCTGTGGACTTTTTGACGGGAAACTTCGACGACGGTCTGGGTGAATATGCATTTTCCCAAAATAATCAATGGCATTACGGAAGAGCCCTTCAGATGTCCTTTGTTGTGCGTTGCACACTGTCATTTTTTTTCCTTGTAATGCCCTCCGCTCTGTGTCCACAGTTGACAAGTCGGACTACATGGTGGGCAGCTACGGGCCGCGCCCGGCTGCATATGACTTTGTGACCACGGTGGAGGAGGCCCCTAAAGGCTTGCTGGCCCGCGGCAACTACGTCATCAAATCCAAGTTTACCGATGACGACAAGCACGACCACCTGAGCTGGGAGTGGAACCTCAACATCAAGAAAGACTGGAAAGACTAAACCGAGCCTTTGAGTGGGCGGCAAGTGAAAGATGTCTACCTGCTGTCTGTCGCGAGACACCTGCCGCCCTGCCACCCAATCCTGCAGTCTCCTTCCGCCATTTGGGCCTTCCTGTTTTTGTTTTTTTTTTTACCGCTGTACATTTCATGTTGTTATGCCTTGTCTGCTTACGCCTCCTTTCGTTTGTCTTAACACCCTGACATTCCTTTGACTTCTCCTAGCATCAGTAGCAGCACTATTCCCTCGCCCCCTGTCCATCCAATCGCATCACCTCATTAAGCTTGGATTGGTGGAACGTCACTGCCCCTTTGCAACACCACCACCCGCTTCACTCCCCTCTTGCTTTTGCTGGTCGCCGCTTCAACAGAATGCTGTCTTCCTCTCAGAATGAAGTACATGGTTAAAGCAAGTGTACAATCAACTTGAGTTTGCCTTTCGATCTAGTTGTATCACTGGTTGTGTAACTGTGTGACTGTATCAACCTCACCGATAATCAGCTGTCTCCCCACCACATCCATTATTCCTTTCCTGCTTGCTGTCTTTTGATAAAATGACCAATACCTGCCTTCATTCAGAGCTGCTCCGTATGTCGTCCTGCACTCCCTTTTCAAATGGGAGCGTGGCCCCAGAACCAATTGGTCATCCAAACCTGCCTTATGATTGGTTAAAGCAAGACTAGTATCACCCTGTGCGCAGTTTTGCTGCCGGGTAGCCTGAAAGTCAAGGGCTCACTTCGCTATCAACTAACACCCACCTGTAGCCCTGTTGATGTGGAGATTGTTTCGACGGGTTACTTGTCGGCTGTGCACATGGCCAACGCTCCCCAAAATGAACCCTTCTTATATAATTGCAGGGTAATGAATGTTTAGAAGAATTGGAGAAAAACAAAAAAAAGCCTGAAGCCTTATTACAAATGATAGTGTTCAAATAAAAACGGTCACAAATGTTTTGTCTTATTTGATTTGGTGGCGTTTCTCTTTTGCCTTAACGTACACGTGCCCTCCTGCAACACCCCCCGAGCTGATTCCGATTGGATTGTGCTTGCAATCAGCGGGCCGCCGCCGGGCGACATTGACGGCGTCAGGATCGGCCGCAAGCCAGTTTTTTTTTTTTTTTTTTTTTTTTTTTTTTTAATGCATTGACAACAGTCACATAACCCTTAAAGCAGTAGGATTTCAATTGAACACTGAAACAAGTAACCTGTAACAAACCCTAAATGAACTTGGGCTGGTCCAACGCATTTGAATGTAGTAGTCGAGCCTTTATGTTGTTTTAATGGAAGCTACTGTATGTATTCCTGCGCCATACATTCCTTCACATTGTATAGTTTCTATGAAATCACTGGCATGCTGGTGGGGTTGTACATGATATCATTTGTGATTGTTCTTGGTCAATAAAGATTTTGCTCAACTTGGGCTCTGAATTGTGGTGGTTTGACTTGGAACAATTGCGCACACCTATTTTGGAACTCCGTTTTGTTGTGCGGCTGATTCTAACTGTACAGTAAGACTTTTTGACCATGTAACATTTTTTTGGCTACTTTTACCCAAAAGCTAATATGTACAACAAATTACATAAAAATGAGTCAGAATCATGATGTTATGCCTAATATTAATCTGTTGTGACAAAATAGAATACTTGAAAGGCACAGCAACACAATAGTTGACATGCAATGCGTTTCTTTCAATGGCAGTACAGTAAACAGCGAACAGTCCGGCCTTGTCGACTGAAAAGTAGAAATCCATTCTGGGGTCAATGGTATACTTTGCTTCCAAGATGATGCATTCAGAAACCTCCAGTTCGAAAAGAGCAACATGAAATGCCAATGAACTTGCCTGTGTGTACACCATTTTCACGTCTGTACACGCACACAGAAATAAACATTACACGTTTGGTCCGCCTTTGCAGCAGTCTAAAAAGGAAAAAAAAGTCCAGATTTACCCTGACAAACAACACAGGCAATACAACATTCATTCATTTGTTCAATTTGGGTAGGATTTGGCACATTTTTGTTTTCCTATTAACCAAGCGCAGTTTTTTTTTCTTTCCACTGTCGGAGGTCAAAAGTATGAAAGAGCATGGCTTTTAGTCTCTTAAAAGTTTGAACAAACAAAAAAAAGGGGGAGAGAAGCCCTGTAAAATATTCCAGTTAAAAACAACCATAAAACAGAATCTAGAAGAGGATGTGAACAGGAGCGACATGCAGCCCTGCCCCTCCACCCACAGAAGGTGCACTTTAGCTTTGTCGTCATACAGTAAATATGCAATAGCCCTGAAATTCTGTTCGGATAAACTTGGCTGTGTTTGACATAATTGTAACTCTGCTCTGTCCGATTAATACGTTAAGGTCCTCCTTTTTTTTTTTTTCCTTTTTCATCTGGACAGTTTACTGATGACTCGAATGAGGGCAGCGTTCTCATCCTTGAGCCTCTGGTTGTCTGCTTTCAGGTCTCCCAGAACCTTCGGAAAAGAACAAGAAGCTGCTGTCAAATCTTAACCATAATTACATAACACACAAAACAAAACAAAACAAAAAAACTTGTGCTGGTGGAGATTGTCGCCCACAGTAAACTTGATTTCCAACCCAAACGGATGTGGAAGCTCATCTCCTGAGTGAACACAACCAGGAGGATTTGTGTCTGCCAAACTAATTAAAATGCCGCATTGTTCATTTAGTGCATTGTGAGAGGAGCCCATGCCAACGTATTAACTTAGCATTGGGTCAGATGATTTATTAAACTGCAGATAATTGCGATGGCAGACTTTGCATTTTTGACCCATGTCTGAAGGAGTAGTCATACCACATCGCCTAGGACAAAACTACATTTGATTTGCATGAGGGTTAATATCTGTGCATAGAGACCCGTCCACGCTGGCGGTTTGAGACGGTATTACCAGGGTTTGCGACGGTGTGGCGGCAGTTTCAGTTCGGAGGGCGGAGGTTATAACCCCGCCACACGTACACAAATGCACACGCGCATAGGCAAAAATGCAAACACACACCCATTTCTAATTCAGGTTTCATTTTCTGTCTTCCCTGGCAAATTTTATGCATGTCACATGAAAAGCTTAATGTTGAGCACTAACCCAGGATGTGTAGGCTATGCAATGACAAGTCTCAACTCGGACTGCCAGTATTATTTTGATAGTTGACACACAAATTATTATTTTGCTCGTTGACAAGTGGGCGGCCCGGTGGGCGACTGGTTAGCGCGTTGGCATCACAGTGCAGAGGTGCAGGGTTCGATTCCTGCTCCGGCCTTCCTGTGTGGAATTTGCATGTTCTCCCTGTGCCTGCGTGGGTTTTCTCTGGGTACTCCGCTTTCCTCCCACATTCCAAAAACATGCACCATAGGTTAATTATTTACTCTAAATTGTCCCTAGGTGTGAGTGTGAGTGTGGATGGTTGTTCGTCAATGTGTGCCCTGCGATTGGCCGGCAACCAATTCGGGGTGTGTCCCCCTTGCTGCCGAAGATAGCTGGGATAGGCTCCAGCACGCGTCGCAACCCTTGTGAGGATAAGCAGATCATAATATAGATGGATGGATGGATAGATGATTGTCGTTGGAATTAGTCGACGAATCATATCATATGTAAATGGGAGCAAATTGCTGCGCCAAGCCACTCCTCTTACATAATCAACATTATCTTACAGCCTGAATTCTTTAGGGTATGTCGAAATTCTTAATCAAGACAATGAAGTTCAACTTTGGTTAAACTTTTCAGCTTGTATCAGTATTCCTGATAGTGTTGGCAAATGACAGTGCAACTTAAATTGAAGGCAATACTGTGCCTTGCACGATGAATAACATCAAAGTATCGACAACTGCAAAAATAAATCCTTGGAAAGAATCATTTAAAACAACGACCCTCATCAAGAAAAAAAAAAACAAATGTGGTATGCACCCTGAAACAAACAAACACAAACCTGAAAGATGAGAAGGAACTTTTTTAAAGCACTGTTAGGATACAGCGCTTTGTAATGAAGTGGCTTATGGAGGTTTTGACCTGTTACTGTGGGGTGGAGGGGTTGCTATAAACATGTTACGTTCTGTTACTTTGAAAACTTGAATTTACGAGTCTGTCAACACATGTGTGTCAATGAGCGCAATGTAGCCCCTTCATGGTTTTTAAACTGATTTTGCGAGGTTTTTCGTGAATTACCCTGCAAAAACTTTCCAAAATTTCATGGGTGTCCCTAGAGGTGAGCGTGAGTAACACAGGCATTTCTGCCAAGTCGCTAGTCATTGTCTACACCAGGGGTGGCCAACCCGCGGCTCGCGAGCCGCATGCGGCTCTTTGGCTGGCTCAATGCGGCTCCCGGGCTTTCACATGACAAGCGTCGAAAACGCCTCGTTGTTGGCGCTGCCATTCAAACAACGGCGCTACATACACAGAACTAACTACGTCAGCCTATCATCAATCCTGTTACTTGATTGACATACAGAGCAACCAATCAGATGACAACTGAATCACCGCTCATGCGCAAACAACGGTGCTCAGCGCTAAGCGCTAACCTCGTCAGCTTTAAAGGTAGGGTTGCCCAATACGTCAATCGCGATCGACCCGGAGCCTGCCGACTGGTCCCAAGTCGAGGGCGAGCGTTGGGAGGAGGAAATGGGGCGTGGGGGGTATTTCTGCGTGTTTCGATTTCGTTCTTGTTCAGTGAAGTTCTGGCTCTCGCTCATCTCTGTGTCTGTGCGTGCCTGTGTGTGTGCATGTGTGTGTACGTGTATCGGGTCGTTGACGGGAGGTTCGTCGCTTCAAAAGTCGATATTCGGTCAAATATGTAGCAAGCTGACCCAAGTAGTAAGTAACTACTGCAGCTCGTGTGTGTGTGTGTGCGTGCGCGCGCGATGTGGCTCTTTGCAGTAACACAGTAAAAGCTGCACTTCTTAATGTGAACTCTACGTATTACTGTGAGCATCGTGAAGTCAGTCAGAACCTTCAACTCGTCTTCCAGTTCCACTGCTCTCCTCTGGAGGGCCAACTTCTCCTACAACGCAACACAAAAGTCAAGTGACTACCACAGAAGAAAAACTTTTTTTGCCTTTCGTCATTCACAAGAGCACAAAGAGGTGCTCGTGTTGTGGTGGAGCGCACTTACAAATCTCTCGAGTTCCAAAAGGGCAGGCCTCTCTGTACTGCTATCTTGACTCTGTCACAGAGAGAATTTGTCAAGTCAAACTCTGTGCTTGCGCTTCGAGCTTTGCGTTGAACAATTCCAGCAGTTTTCAAAGTTGGAAATCAACTTTCGATCATCAAATGGAAATGAACGAAAATTGAGTGGGCCGAACCAGGAAGTGAAGGTTGCCAAGTAGAACGGTATCTGGATTTACAAGTAACCCAATTTCACAAGTGTTTTTTTTCTCATCCACCGACACTCAAGTAAGATTTTTTTTTTTAGATGTTCAACAAAAGGACAAATTCTTGATATTTATCCTTGAATTTGACCTTTCCATCAAATTGCCCTTTATTCCTCGGATGGAAAGTTTCCAATGTGGAATATTTCCAAATTTCAGCATATTAACCCTTTCAGGGACAGCGGCTACTACAGTGGACAGTTTATCATGTTGTCGGGTTACAGGTTGTCATTACTGGGTGCATGAAAGCATTCATCTCCCATGGAACTCTAACAGGAGCTTTCTGGAAATTTCCAGCCTTTTGCAACCCTCCCCTGCTGTCCGGGTCCTCACGATATAGTGAGCTAAACTTAGTTTTTCCGAATCAAACCGACAAACTGGCCCGACCTGTCTGAGTCTTTCCAGGTCCACTTTGTTTTGGCTGAGCAGCAATTCCATCTCCTGCAGCTTGTCCTTCAGTGCGAGGTTCTGCTGCAGTATCTGGAAGTAGAGCTGGAGGGGAAGCACACAAATGTATGACCCGTCATTGATCAGAAGAGGGAGGTTCTGCTGAAGGTTGGAATGTCCACGCAAAAAGAGTCGGCTGGAAATAACTTGATGAGCATTCCGGACATCCAGCAACTCTGTTCACTTCTAGTTGAAGCCAGAAGAGCACTGCTGTGTTTTCTTTTTTAGGTATGTGCAAGCTTCTGCATGGGGAGGAGCTCAGACACGTACCATCCTGTAGTCAGCGTCCCCTAATCCACTCGCACTGCAGAGAAACACAGAACACAGATGGCAAAACAGATTACAACTGCTTTACTTGTCTTCATGAATGAACACAAAAAAAATATCTCATTGCAAGTGAAGCAGGGCGCACATTAAATATGTTCGCAGACATCCGAGAGACCAACTGGAGCGACGTGAAGATACTTGGGGACAGATTCAAATTCCTTCAAAAGGATTTAGAGGCATGATTCAGCTTGGTACACAGAACCAACTGGATGTGCTATTGATAACACGATGGAACTGGTTTGGCAGAAAAGAAGCTCACATCAGTCATGCAGTGTTCTCACTCAAAAGCGCTGAGTCCATGTGATGTTGTTAAAACACACCAGTCCATAGCCCCTTATTTGCAGGACTGACCCCAAAAAATATTCAACCAACCAAATTCTATAGCTGACAGTGGCTGTCGCCTTTTCACGCTGGAGGGGTTTGTGTGTCCCAGTGATCCTCAGAGCTAAGTTGTCTGGGGCTTTGCGGCCCTGGCAAGGTCACCCATGACAAACAGGCCCTGGGACTAGACAAAGCACGGCTCAAATACCTCTTGACTAAAAGACATTGGACAGCATTTTCAGGATTGCAGCTTCTATGTGTTGCCATATGAATGGAATTTCCCTGAGCCTTCAGACTCAGGATTGCTGTTAGATGCCGAATGGAATGAATTGAAATGTCTGGTTATGACTGATGTCATTCAGTCAGTCAGTCAATAAATAAATAAAATCAGATTGAATAGACAGAGGCGGCTCGAAGGCTGAGGGTAGCCAGCATTTGGCGGGGCTGGGTGCCGAGTCAAGGCCCGCCACTGACAACTTATCACGGCAGATTATGCTTCTACTAAGACAATAAAGCAATATATAAGGTTCAATAGAAAGATATAACTCACGTTGAGGCATTGTCTGAATCATCTAAATGAGCATCCTCTTCATCATTCTGAAACACAAACCGGTTGTCAGCAACACACCTAGGACATTTTCAAATATTTGCATTTCAAACACACATCGAAAATGCCGTGGGTTGTTTTCCTGACCCACTTGCTGGGTACCAGGGTTAATTTCTACTACTTTGATGTATTTTGAAGTTGAAGTTTTAATGCAACTTTCATAAGGAAATCTGTGACAGCTAAATGGCTCACTGGGTAAGGCTACTGCCTTCGAAGATTAGGATGCGGGTTCAAATCCTGGTCAGGGAGGATTGCCCCACTGCGGGAAACGGCTGGTATGTGTCAGGATGGAGGGCATCAGGCATGAAAAATTTGATCAGCATATAATGTGAATAGGCCCCAATTGCTATGGATTTTTGGGGGCTGATGCAGATTTTTGGCAGACAAAAAAAATTACTGATTACCGATTCAACCCCCAAAACCAAAAACATATTTCATATTCATGTGTCAATAATAAGTGGATTTTTGCTATTTGCGGCCTGGTCCTCATTCCACGCAGATAATGTGGGTCACCCCCCCCCCCCATTCATACATACATACATATGTTGTATGTATGTATGTATGACCTATGTTGTTTAAAAAAAATCTTTTGGGAGGTTTCCGAATGCATTGTGTGGTGCCATGCATTTAAGGACATCTATCTTTCTCATGTGTGTTTGTGTTATTCAGTAGTTGAATGTATAACACATTCAGGTTTCATTTATGTTGAACTATGATGATTATTTTTTAACATTTTTTTTTAAAACTGTGACTTTAGGTTGTGTGTAAAATAATGACATCCCGATCAGTTCCTTGCACAACTTGGATTGCTCAAGTAGGACTTCCTTTGTTTTGAATGGCGGATCCATGGAATGACCTTATCAACAGATTTCACGATGTCTGCAACAAATAGCTGCACAGTGGATTACTGGTTAGTGTGTCAGCCTCACAGTGCAGAGTTCGATTCAATCTCCGGTCTTCCTGTGTGGAGTTTGCATGTTCGGCCCGTGAAACAAATATATGATGAATAAAATAACTGATTTTTCGGTCCGTTATCGCTGGTAGCAAAAAAGAAATGAGAACAAAAACATATTTTTATTATTGGTTCCGAAAAACAAAGCCATGTAAGGGTGAATTTGCAACTGCTGGCCCGCGAATGTGCAGCGAGCGTCCTTCCCACCTCTCCACTCGGCTGAATGACGCCAGTGGAGCGTCTCTCTTTTCTCACTCGCCTCCTGTCCTTCACTCCCAGACGCCTGTCTCCCTCAGGCTCCTCCTGCTTCACTGGGTCTGTATCTGGAACACATGCAGAACGTGCTCACACTCTTGATGAATCACACCAATCACAAACTACAAAAATATCGAACTCCAATGTGAACAGTCGATATCTTTCTCAAGCCAATCATGGTATCATACACACGCCACTGCTCACTGCCATGTATGATTTATAGTGTGGAAATATGGAGCACCAGATATAAAAGCAACACTTGTCCAATCCTTAAGTTATAAATAATGCAATCAAAATTATTAATCAAGTTGGTTACATAGAACCAACCACTGAACTACTGATCAATTTCAATATACTCAAATGTTATGGATTACAGTGGTGAAATTCAAAACAGCACAGGAAATGTACAAAATTTACTTTGCCACAGCACTCAGAAGATGACCATAAAAACCGTCAGACACTTAAAGCAGTGGAATGAAACTTGTGCAGAGATGAAAGTGGACTTTTCTGAAAATTCCGGAAAAAATAAATAAATGTGTGTGTGTGTGTGTGTGTGTATATATATATACACACACACACACACACACACACACACGCGGACGCACTTGGCCGATCAAGCATGAATTAGTTTACACAAAACGCTATTCAAATACTCGACATTCAATGATTAATCTTCCTTTTGTGTGCACACGTGTACCCTTTGTGGCTTCCGTTCGGGCCGAAATTTCGAAATCTCCAAGATATGGCGAGGCCATGAGAATGCGAGGCGAGGGTATTACTGTTGTGGCAACTCCACTCAAGCTAAGCGGGCCGGCCACGACTTTATGCCACTCTGTGTTTTTCCCTTTTTGGCCAAATATATATTTTACGACAACTGTCTTGTTGACGGCCTCTTTTATTCGTTCCACTGGGGTTTAGCAGGTGTGTTTATAAAGAGACGAAAATTGTTTGGGGACTATCCCCCACGTTCTAGTTGAGATGGTATAACCCAAGAGGCAAAATGACGCTTGCTACTGTTGTTGCGAGTTGCTATTCGTTCTACTAAACCATTAGTCAAACGCCATCATGCCTTCTGTCGTTATTACACAAACAAAAATCTCTTTACTGTTACTAGTGTTAGTGCCTCAATATGGCTACGCTCGTGAAAGCAATACAACGAACTCAAACGCGTCTTCGTTCAATGTTGTCAACAAATATCCGGATTATGCAAATTTTCCTCAATTCTCCGGAGAAATATTCATAAAAATTTGAAAAACCCGGAATTCCGGGAAAATCCGGAGGACTTTCATCTCTGCTTGTGGAATGGCCATGATTTTGAATATAAAAACATGCAGCTCTTTTTTATGTTTAAAAATATTTGTTAACGCGAGTGATAAATAAAAACATACCAATCAGGTATAAGCGCAAAAAAAAAAAAAAAAAAAGGATGATGATGAAGCAGTTGGCAACCATATCTTGAATCTCGTGGTTACTTAACATGGACCTCTTATTTTTAGATATATAAAGTATACCGTATATGCTTCCTATTTCATTATCATTAGTTAAGACGAGTCTATTCAGAATTAGTTTTGGTTTTTTTTTTGTTTTTTTAATAAAAAAAAAACTTCCTACTCCTTTTTCGGGATGAGCAATTTTGCCAAAATAGAGCATCAAGATTTGTTTTTATTATAAAGTCACAATTTCATTTTCACAATTTTTTTTAATGAATCAGAAATACAAGTTAAATTACACATGAAATAAGAGAAGTATTGAATAAATACACTTATTGTCATGGTTCTCTTTCGCCTTTGCCATGTTGCTCTGCCTACTTCTGCTCCTCCCCTGCCCCCTTCTCTGCTCTCTTCTCCCTCTTTTCAGCCCAGGAGCGTGGAAGGCAGCGGTGCCGAACTCAGGGGCGGAGCCTCACCCTCTCACCTGGGCCACATCAGCTTGAGAAGGTGGCTGCCTATTTAGCCAGCTTTTCCCATTGTTCTGTGCCGGAAGATCCTTGACTTTCACACTGTGTCTGGCCACGTTGCTTTTTTTTTTCTTCCCCTCCTGCCATGCATTCTGGTCTCAAGAGTCGCCTGATGACTAGTGATAGCGGAATGAAGGCCCGTGAATGTATCGAGTCTTTTGGGCCAATTGCTTCGCCAAACGGCTGATCAGTCGAGGCCTCATTTAATAGCTCATTTAGTAGTGCTGACATCTGTTGGTCATTTGATGTAACGCAGATGTTATGTGATTAACAGGCAACAAACCAGTCATAATGGAAGTTTTGTCCATTAAATATTGTCTGCATATTTGTCAGTGGTATGTTCAGTTACTTAATGTGCTTGTGTAACTGGGACACACATTGGATAGAGGGAATGGTGTATTTTATTGATTTTTGTTCAGGAATAAAATCATTTTGACTGTGTTGGGGCTCAGTCGATTCCTTTTTTTGGATATGATTTCCCCTGCCTTTGAGAAAACCCTCTCGCAGTGTTGGGAGATATCTGTTCGAAATGCTCCCAAACTAGTGAAGTCCTTCGCTTTTTGGGTGGCTCCGCCTCCATTCTCAAGCAGTCGAAGTAGCGCAGCAATGATCCAAGACTCACGTCAGACGGTCATGCGGGGGACTCTTCATGGGTTTTCCGCACCTATTTATGGAGCGCGAATCACGACGTGAGTCAGTCACGTGATCGCTGAAAACGGGGCCTCGTTTACCTTCGGTCACGTGATATGAGGAAAAAACGAGACGAGCCTCGATACGGGCTCCATTTAACCATGCCCCCTTCGTGCGGGGCATGACTCGCGACTCCAGTTCCATTTGTAACATCACTACTGATGACCTGCTTTCTCCTTGTTGTCACGAGCATTTCCCGCAAGGTGATTTTCACTTGCTACTTTATTTGCTTGAGTACATGATAGTTTTGTTTTTTTGAGTGTAGTAATTTTGTGTTGCTACGTTGGACAAAATATTTTATTTTGGCTGCCTATGTCTGCCTCCTGGGTCCTAGTCTTTTTGTTTGCCTCACAACACATGACAGAATGTTCCGTCCAAAACACAGACACAGAGCGTCTGAAGCTTGCGCACTCTGCACAGTGAACACTGGTTGGCCAACACAAGATGACACTGCAGCAAGTGGTGGACTCCTGTCCACCAGGGAGACTGTTCATTCCACTTTACGGATCACATGTCACCCCGCGGTTCATTGGACGCTCTCTTATCAAGCGGCACTTCTGGCGGCCATCAGTGGCTGGAGATGTCCGTGCCTTAGTTGCCTCATGCTCAGTATGCGCTCACAACAAAGCTTCCCAACAAGCCCTGGCGGGTCTCCTGCGTCCCTTACCCATTCCTTCTCTGCCATTGGACTTAGTTACCGGTCTTCCCCAACAACACCATTCTCACTATCGTTGATCGGTCCTCAAAGGTAGTTCATTTTGTTCCACTCGCAACTGCCTGAGACAATGCTAACCTCCTAGTCCAGCATGTTTTCAGGCTCCACGGAATCCCCATGGACATTGTGTCAGACAGGAGGCCGCAGTTCATCTCGTGTCTGGAAGGCCGTCTGTTGCGCCTGGAGACTTCAACCAGCCTTTTGTCTGGAGACCACCTTCAGACCAACGGGCAGACGGCGCCAGCAAACCAGGACCCTCACCTGAGCCACATTAGCTTGGTGGCAGCTTCTCTAATACTTCTGTGCCAGAAGATCCTTGACTTCCACACTGTGTCTTGCCACATTGCTGTCATGTGTTCCAGCCTCAAGAGTGTCTGCCTTGGTTACATGCTCCCGAGTAATTGTCTATGTTTTTTTGGCATTTTTTTTGGCGACCCTAAGCCGCTTACTTGCTAAGCATTCGGGAGTCTACGCTCAGACTTCTTTGACCAACGTGCACAAAACCTCGAGGTTTTTCGGCGTTAATAGCTGACCATTAAGTTCCCTACTCTTATTGAACATTTGAATCGAACAACTGAATCTCCTGCTGCCGTTCTTCTGCGTTTCTTTTTGATAGTGTGTTGATTTGTTTTGTATATGTTCAATCACATGACAACATCTTGGCTTGTCAGAAAAAAAAAATTGTGAGAAATAAGTGGCGGAATGTTAGCAACGGAAGTTCATGATGGACCCCCCCCCCCCAAAAAAAAAAAAATCATACTTCATTCTTACTAGGGTACAAGAGTAGAAATGTTAAGATGAACAGACAACAGGGAGTAGCTATGGAATGTCGACAGAACATTTGTATCGAAGAACGAAATCTGTTGCTGCCTCTTCTTTTAACCTTTCATTTAATAATTGGATTTTTTTTTAATATGTTCAATCAGTGGCACATGGCAACATCTTGACTGAAAAAAAAATTGTGAGCTCTGATGAGCAATGTTAGCCTGTTTATATTTAAGTGACTGAATGTTAGCAACGAAAAAAAAAATCGTATTTCATTCTTACTAGGGTACAAGAATAGAAATGTTAATATGAATAGAAAACACGGAGTCACTATGGAATGTCTACAGAACCAAACTCACCCCTCTCAGCAGGCGTGAGAGTGATGATGGGGCTGACGGGCTGAATGTTACGAGGCAGGGGATCCGCAGCTTTAGACACAGTCTTCTCAGCTTCCTTTAGGTCTGTTAAGGTCACACCCTGAAATAGCCAAAGCACAATTCCCAAAGAACTTTCAGTTGTCTTCGAGAGGAAGTGGAGTTCACAAGCATTAGCAAGACTATAAAGTTTGGGATTAAGCACCCATGTTCATGAGATCTGTCGGCACCAAGGTTAATTCAAATTTTGCTTTTACCAAGGAGATGAATAAATGTCTTCAGCTGAATATTCACAGCAGGCGATGCTTCACCACTACAGCATTAACTTATCGACATGAACTGAAGAGGTCGCTTCTAATTTCATTAATCAGGTCAGACTTCTGTTAGTGGGGAGTCAAATGGTTGGCATGCCCTCATGTCATTGTTAAAGTCGTCAAATAATAAATCTCCAATCCAATACAAAGCATAAAAAGGACAGTGGTCAACAGAAAATAATTGGGCCAGCAATTACAATGGATTGTAATTGTCATTGTTTTATACACATGACACGCGAAGACATGAGAAAACTTTAGTAAGGCAAAGCTTCATTTTGTTCTTGGGAAATTCAATGTGTGCTGACTTTTTGATATTTCGATTTAAATCATTCCGACTGAAGAACTCTGGTCAACTGTTTACATGCAATGTGATCAATTCCGATTTGCCATTAACATGTGCCTCTACATTTCATCAGAACGGTCTTTGTACAGACATGTGGCACGCAGATCGCCGTCAACATCTCGAGATTTATCAAGATAGTCAAGAAGTCAGTTGTCTATTTACGCAGTAGTTGTGATTCTTTTTACAATTTTAGCAAAGCAATGCTGACTAAAAACAAGTTACTAGCAGTTAAAAAGAAACTTGACCCTCGCAGACTGGCGATTTTATTTACATCAAAACGGAGCATGTGCAGACAGTGTATACATGACTTCTTATCGGATTGGAAAAAACATACCACCCCTGTCAATCGGAATCACATTCCGTTCGGATTCAGTCTCTTCATTCTGACTGAGATGGAGCACTTTCATGCGGTTTGGAAATTCAATTTCATTCTAATCGGATTGCATTGCGCCATGCAAGCCCAGCTATGGATGGTCAAATCCATTACCAAATTTGACAACATTTATCTTTGTTGACATTGGTGCGTGTAAACACTTTACGTGAAATATTTGCTGCATCTGCTTACTACAGTCGATCACGTTCCAAACATTACAACAACTCTGAATAGAAAGATGTAGACCGAAATGCAATCCACTTCCAACCCCCTCTGCATACCTGAGTGGAGCGACGGGACTGTCGCAAGAGTCGAGAGCGAGCCTTCCTCTGAGACTCAGACTCCTCATCTCTTACTGGAGCCTGAAACCTGAACAAACGCAAAGAAAGGACAATTCAAGGAAGAGCCACATATGCATTTAGTGCACCTTTTGAAAAGTTCCTTTAAGAATTCACTCGATAATCAGTATGTAGTTGTGCGTTTCATACTTGCGGCGCTCAGTAGTGGGTGTGTTGGGACTTTCAGATGTACTGTCCCTCGTATGAGGGGTGGGCTGGACTCTTGCAGTGCGAACCGCCTTGTCCTGCTCCTTGTCTTCCTCGCCGCCTCTCTCGTCTGATGTCTACATTGCGAAAATACAAACACCACAAATTTCAATGGCCATCCATCTACACACCACTTTGTAGACATTTTATCAAGCATCATTTAACCCCTCCTCCCCACTAAATAAGCGAATGCAAAATGTTGAACAAGAGAAATGTGGTGATAGTGAAGGAAATAACTTTTTGATCCTCTGCAGAATTTGCAAATTTGTTCACTTTCAATTAAATAAACAGTCTCGTTTTTGGGTGGTTGATTATGATTATGTACAAAATGTCTGTCAAAAATGCATGGGGGGAAAAAAGTGATCCATTTTATTGTATGAACAGAAAACCCCCCACATTTTATCTTTACAAGGGTTGCGGATGTGTTGGAGCCTATCCCTGCTGACTGTGTGGTAGTAGGTGGGGTACACCCTGTAAACTGCTCGCCAGTCAAGAGTATACAACTTGTAAAATGTTGTGCATTTTATTGGGTAAAATAATTATTTGATCCTGAAAAACTCCGGCAAGTCCTGCTCCCACAGATTGGCTGGTGTCCATGTGTCAGGCAATCAACTACTTACCAAGACATCTGATTCCAACCCGTTACAAGTACACGTAAAGCTCAACCGTTCCAATTCCATGCGGGTAGATTTTACACAGAATACAGACACACGTCAAAGCCAGGGAGAGGGCAGGCAGCTGGTGTTTTCTTTTCAAATCTTGCCAACATCTGTCACGCATTACAGGGTAGAGAAGTTCAATCAAAACAGCAACACTGTGCCAATGAAGTAATCTATCAGGAACTGAGACGCATTGTTTTGGAAAATGCGTGTCAATACAGTTTAAATTGAATGCATTTTACAATGCCCTGTCACCTGAATGCTACATATATGAGCAATAACCAAACCATAGATTCTTGAACAACTGCCGTGACATATGAGGGGGCTTTTTGATATACAGTGATACCTCTACTTACGAAATTAATCGGTTCTGGAAGAAATTTCTTAACTAGAACATTTTGTAGAGATGCGTTTTCCATGCAAATGCCCTAATTCGTTCCAAGCCACCCCAAAATTCAGACAAAAATGTTTCCTGAAGCGTAAAAATGCATAATTGTATGTAACAAATACATGTTACAATTAGATCATTGCACAATAAATGAGAGTTGTGCATAATGTAAAAAAACAAAGAAAAAAGAATAAAAATTATGTTCATTTAACTTTTAACTGCATCCTCATCTTTTTTGCCTTCTTCAGTTCATGTTCTCACATCAAAGTGGTTTTTGCCTGGCGATTTGTTAAGAACTGATCCAAGGATGTTTGCTTTTGTCGGCTTTGAACAATCCTTCGAAAATGTCCAAAGCAAACATCAGCATAGTGAGCGATCATCCGAACAGTGAACACTTTCTCTGGGTGATTCACATTTACGTAAAACCATCAGAACACCTCCTGGGCGAATGACGAGGAGGCTGCATCGACACCAACTATCTACACACACACACACACACAAATACGGTAGAAGTCCCTCTTAGCCAATGGGACGCCAGGATGATAATCCGTAATAGCCAATGGCAGAGCAGCTATAAGTATGTTGTGTTCATGAAAATCGGAGCTGCCTGTAGCGGGCGATACTGTATTTTTACCTTCCGTATCTTGAAATTTCTTTTGTAAGAAGAGGCAATATTTTCCTGTTGAGACATTTCGTAGCTTGAAAATTTCGTATGAAGAGACATTCGTAGTAGAGGTACCACTGTACAGTGAATGAACCCACAAATGTAAGTATCACCTTGTCAACTGGACTGACTGCAGATGTGGTCCCACTTTCAGTGTCTGGACTGGATACAGTGGAGCTCTCTGGAGATACAACAACAAACTGTTGGTTGAGCCTGAACGTTGACAAGAATGGAAAACAAATAACTTTTACAAGCCAGTCATAACAGCCGTTTTACCGGGACTGCTCTCCTTGTCCTCGCTTAGTTCCAGACCAGCCGAGACACCCCTTTCTTTTGATTGGTCCTGCAGGTTCAACTTTTCTTTACTGCTCATCCTGCACACTGAGCTCCTAGTGGCATCAAAGTAGAGGAAGAAATTAGCATGCAGTGTTTCGCTGGGTGCCACTGAATTTTGTGAACACCATGAAAACATACAATTACAAACCCTCCCCCCCCAAAAAAACCCCCTCAAGAGTATGCTGACTTATTTCATGCCAATAAATGTCATTTTGCGATGAATTGAGATATACAAGGACACCAATATGAAGATTCAATATAACACATCAAAATAAGGCGGTGGCCATGAGAGGACATTTAAAACATTCAAGGTGTATTTAAAGATGTCTAATGCGTTTTAGAACTTTGAGAATTATCAAATCCGATAATAAATTTGAGAAACGGCTTATGCTTTTCAAGGTAACATAAGCTTTAGCCCAGCCTTCCTCAACTGGCGGACCGCGATCCACGACCGGACCGCCGACCTCCTCTGTCCGGACCTCCTCTGTCCAGAACTCCTCTGTCCGGACCCGTGGCAAATTGTATAAAATAATAATTTATAAAGTGATTTTTACGTTATACATTTTATATTTGTGGACTATAATCTGCGCATTACCGCGATCACTTGTTAAAATTATCCGTTGTATTCTTTGCGTGCACTAACAGATGTATTGCAGAGGACCGCAGCAGCGCGACTGTGTGTTGTATAATGTTTGACTAACTGGAGACCCTGGCTGAGCAGGGCATGTCGGCGATAACGACGCGCTGATTGGCTCCTCTGAACTTAAGGTGTGCCCATACATAAGC